GAAAGAGTTTTATAGCCCATAACCTAAGGTTTTGATTTTAATAAAACTCCACCAGAAAATGGGAGGATATTTTACCAAAACTAACAGGAATACAGTGACTTGTCACAGATCAAGAGATAATTCAGGTCAAAGAGAAAACAGATCAAAGTACAAATAAACGTATCTGGTTATTTGACATCTTGTTTATTTTGAAACAGAATTTTAAAATAAGGTGCAACTTTGGAAAAGGGATACATTACTTATTTTACAAATATTTTAGGTCAGGTTAATAATGTGTAATCCAGACATCTAAAATCTAAGATTTGAATGTACGGGATGTCCAACGAATAAAATGTATTATACGGCAAACAATCTGACATACAAAGTAACAGTAAAAAAAAAAAAAAAAAAAAAATATGAAAGGGAAAAGGTATTTGCTCCCAAAATGGAATGAGTAAGACATTGTTTAACAGATGGTAACCAGGTGAACGTTTTAAACCATCAAATTAAATGCCTAGAGGAAACAAGGAACAATACTTGAACAATGTTATTTAGGGACAAAACTTATAGGTTTCAAAAGAATATGATGTGGAAGAAATAGGTTTGCAGTGACATGGTAATGGCTGGTTGCGGGTATTCTTACCTACATTGAATATGTCAAAGTGTACCAGAATTAGATAAATTTGTTTACAGGTTTAATATTTATTTCCAAATAAGATTTGTTTTTAAAGTTCAATCATCGAACAGTTATTGAATGAGAACAATTTTTATAGATGAAAAAAGGATGGAGTTGCTTTAAATTAAAGGATTAAAATATATTAAAGCTGCATCTTCGATGGACAAATTATGAACAAAAAAATCGATTTCACAGTATTGCCATTGCTTAAATTACATGTAAAACAGCAACAAAATTGTATATTTTAGAAGATGATGATGATTATTGTATAAACCGTAGTTTTCGAAATACAAAGTGTAATTAAACTTTGAGCTTAGATTAAATCCTACCCTTTAATTCTGGTTTAATCCTTTGATCAAAAATGCAAAAGCATGCAGACTAATGTCAAAACAAGTGAAAAAACATTTCAGCGAAAGAAAAACACATCCAGCTGATTTGAAGAAAAAAAAAACGCTTAGTACACTGCAGATAATTCCAGGCAATACTCTTTTGGCCATCATTTGTTTAGTTTTTTCTAAAATGTCAGTGAGCAAATCATCTTCGGATTTTAATGGAGCAATACTGACACTTGTACGTACATTACGCATTAAATCCTTTACCAGATTTGCTATACCCAGAACAAAGTTTATATAGTCGTACTACCTAAGTAGGTATAACATGTAAGTTTGCACCCTTTTCTTTTAACAGTTGTTTCAGCTTTTCATTTAATGGCGCTTTTCATCAATACTTTATCTAAAATATTAGATTCCATGTCTTTGTGCTGCTTCGCTTTCGTCAGGTTTTAATTTAATATTTTTTGAAAAAAATATAAACGGAATGTCAGTAAGACATATGAACATGTCTGTGTGTCCCGCTTGCCAAGCAAGAGATCTTTAAAACTCAATCATCCCAACTGGTTTTTGTTTTTCTTATACTTTTTATGTTCAGACTTTATTTTATAACTCCCGTACTTGGATGGGTAATGCGTCAGCCAAACATGAAGTCGCAAGTTCGGCCCTCGCGGCGGCATCCCAAAGTTTGTAAATACTTTTTTGTATTTTTATGTTTGAATGTTCTTTTCAACTCGCTTATCCACATGTTTAAATTATCGTAAGTTTTTTAAATTATTGCCCTAGTTTTATCCATACATTACTCTTTAGCATACTGTTTCACATTATATACTCTATTCCTGACTTGTTTGTATTTATTCTAATTATTTAGCTTACCAAATTTGAGGGCAAATTTCTGTGCTCTGTCCCTTTTTTATTATTTTTCTTAATTGGGAATCAAACCCAAGTTTATCAGCTGAGCGAACTGTTATATTTCTATTAGGAATATACAAAGATGAGAATACTAATTAATTGGTTGCAGTATCAACATGACTTTACAACAGATCTGTCCAGTTAGTTCTTACCATCAGAGCGTCAAGTATTTGTTGAAATCTGTCACGTTCAAATTTATTACTATATTTTGAATATCATGGTCAATACATTCTCAATCATAATATCACTAAGTCAGAGATAGAAAGTTCTGATTAAGTCAATGGTTTAAGTCCCCAGAATTTGAGTAAATCGATGGTATATATCCCCAGAATTTGAGTAAATCGATGGTATAAATCCCCAGACTTTGAGTAAATCGATGGTATATGTCCCCAGAATTTAGTAAATCGAAGGCATAAGTCCCCAGAATTTGAGTAAGTCGATGGTATAAGTCCCCAGAATTTGAGTAAGTCGATGGTATAAGTCTCCAGAATTTAGTAAATCGATGGCATTTGTCCCCAGAATTTGAGTAAATCGATGGTACAAGACCCCATAATAATATTTAAGTGTCACTTGTGATATCAAACGTAGTTTCAAATCGTTCCCACAAATTAACAGAAGAGTAGTTTGTTCCAAACCGCACCCTGGGGCTATTTTACAACAGGGTAACATCTCAGTCCACACAAGTTTAGTAACATGACAAAGTTTGAATCGTTCAGTAACAGGATAATTAGTTTATTGGAAACTTATGTCATGATTACAGCTTATGTCCTTTCTACAAGGTTTGTTAAAACTATTGAAATATAAACCATTCACATGGATTCTTGAATTTAATTGTGTTTCACTAAAGCATAAAACTGAAATATCTTCATCTATATTTTCCAGATAGTTAAATAGTGTCTCTGAAGCTACTAATATTTAAATGAATAAAACAATTTTATTATCTTCTTTATGTCCCTGATTAGTTTTATTCTCACAAATAGTACAAGTGAAGTCCTACAAACAATTGGAATATTGTTGAGTTCCAATACAATAAATTCATATATTGGTTTAAAAAACATTTCGAGATATATTTGTAACGTTCATTTTCATTCCTTTGTCGCTCGCAAAGAAAGGACGATTGTTGTTGGAGATTCTATACAACATAGTGGATTTATTCACAATCATTATGAATTTTATTCTGTTAGGGCTGTTCTCTATTGGTGTAATTTGCTTTGAATACAAAGTATATATAAAATAGTATGGACAAATCGTTTAGCAAAAGGTATAGAAAAGTCATTATAAAAATATGAAAAAGTCGCGCATAAAAATGTCTAATTGTACATCACAGTCGTATTGAAATTATAACAGGAGAAAGAAAGAGAACAAGAAAAGAGAAAAAGAGAACAATTTGGCATGCATTTCACTATCAACGACCATGCTGTAGATGACGGCCATTTTATTTCATCATGCTTGTGTGGACATGAATCGTTCTCTTTGCATAACGTATCTTTTTGTCATTGGGTTATGATCGGGTTTTCTATTTTTATTACAAAACTGCAATTCCTATATGACAACAAATGTAGGGATTTTTTAAAAATTATAATTCTTTTCAATTCGATTCTAATTATTTTATCAAAACACAATTAAACGATGTATACTAAAATTTGTTGTAAAACATGGACTGTGATAATAAACTTATCATTCATCAAATCGTGTACAAATACAAACTTTAAAGTGGGTACAGCTGACTCCCACGCAAACAAATTTGGTAAACACAAGAATTAAAATATTTACAGAATAAAATTACTCCTAATAGAGTATGAAAATTGAAAAATTATCTGGTATTAAAACGGTTACAAACAAAATGGTAATAATTTAAATGTTTATGGCAAAAGATTTCCAGATTTTACAAAGTTACTAACATCTGGCAGATCTCTGGGGAGTTGACAGTCGCTATTTTATATACGTCTTTACTTATTTATCTATGTGTCATATCCAATAAGGTATATATTAGGCAAGGTACAAGAACCGCTTAAAAGTATGTTTAATCACATAATTAGATAAACAAAAACTGAGACATTCTGTAGAACATGATATGAAAAAGTATACACCAAGTAGAAAGTGCTAATAAATGACGAAAAATTCCAGTGATATATGAAGCACATAAATTATAACTTTGCTTCAATATCGAATATGTTTTCTTTACATAAAAGACATAGCTGACAAAACCAACAGTCGGTAGGGTATTATCGCTGTCAAAATAATTAAAAGCAGTTTGCAACTAGAATTAATTCTAGTCAGCTGGGACTACAGTTAATTATAGTATAATTTTCATCCAAGAACAATGTCTAAGAGCTCTTAAATACTAAAATTAAAATAAATTCTAAATCCGATCGAATCTCTGTAAGCAGATGGCTGTAGGTCATCGAGTACTTTGTATTGGGAAAAGGAAATAAAATTCGTCCTCTGCCGCTTTGTCTCAGAAATGACACACAATTTTAATAAATACTGATATCGGTTTTACCAGTCTTCTTATATGGCCATGGTGAAGAATACTGACTCAAACTTTATTTAGAAAATGACCTCTTGGTAATAGTATACTTTAAACACAAAAGGTAGGACTCAAATTTAATTTTTTTTCCACCTTATTTGTTCTATATACATTTAGTTCATCCCAAGTGAATTAGTTTTCCTTTCACATGATAGCAGGATCATGGAGAATAATTACTCTGAGTCCACGGAGAAGTTTATCTTGGTGAAAAAGAGATTGATTATTAAACAAGAACAAAAAGCAATTGCGAACAGTTCTCTCTGTACTGGCCCAGTTACTACCACGTATTAGTATCCTTGAAACATTTATTGACTAAGGACATCATGTGTGAGTGTGTTTGTGATTCGGATTTTGAACGTAGCTTAAACGATTTTTCAGTCATATCGCTACGATGTCTGCAGTGAGACAGTTTCTAGTGATGTCTAGCACTGAGGCATCATTCTGCAGAAATATAGCATGGTGTCACACCCATTCACATCATCCTGACGCCAGGCCCACCAGTCATAACACTAACCTCTTAATGCTGAGCGCCAAGCGAGGAAGCTGCTAGTATCAGTTTTATAAGTTTCTGATATGACTCGGCAAGGGTTCGAACCACCAATCTCCCGCATTTGAGGCGGACGCTCTAACCACTAGGTCACCGGAGCGGTTCTCACTCACCTTGTACCCAATAACACAAATACTCTAGTTAAACTAGTTCCTATATTCTGTCTTGATCAAATCTAGTGCAAACATTGTCCTTCAACATTTTGTAACACCACATATAATCATGTTATGAGGGTCTTTCAAAAGCATCAATGAAATGTTCCCTGTCGGTCCAGTGTCGGTAAAGAAAACACTGTTCGTTTCTCTGATGATGTGATAGCAGTATCAGAATTCATTGTTTTGTTAGTCATGGACTAGTTTTCTATAAGCATAATCTTTTACATTTTTTTCTTACTTTATTCTATTCCAGCCGTCAGATAATCTTAAAGATCGGTTAAAGTCTGAGATTTTAACTCATTTGGATTTTGTGGTTTATGTCTGTGCTAAATTATATTTCGCTTTCAGCATTCGGATTACACTGTCATATCAGTATATTTTGTTTTAGTTTTCGTTATTGTCTATCTTTTTTTGCTTATTTCAGTCATGTCATTCTTCGGTGTTAGCAATCTTCTTGTTCCAATAAGTATTACTGTTGCCGTAATCATTAGTGTTTCAGTCTCTTGGTTGTTTTAATTATTCCATTTTGGATTGCAAAGTATTATTGCCTTCCAGAGATTTATTTATTTTCTCCTTGCAAATATTAAATGTTTGGTATTTCAACTGACCTTTCTGTTACAGTTTTGCAAGGTTGTATGGCATTACAGAGTTCATCAAATCATTTTAAACAAGTCACAAGCATCTAAAATATTTGTTGTCTATTATTGTTCATATGTTTTTGGAACTTATGATATTCGTTTGCTTAATCGCTACCCCCTTATTCATCGGTTGATTTTTGTTATCACCATGTTCTCAATATTTCAGTATCTTTTAAATTATTGTTCTCCATTGTCCACCTGCTTACCGAATCTGTGCACTGCCACATATTTTTAGGAACTGCGTCACCTAAATTTCTAATACAGTGGTCATTAAATTTTTTTTCCCTTGTTTATTGATTGACCAAATTTTATAAATCTCTCCTTAGCATTCTTTACAGATATAAAATTAAAATCACTAGAATTTCTTCAGGGTATAATTCCCATTTACTTTACACGGAATAAATGTGTTATAGTCATACCGTGAAAATTAATGATAGTTCTGCTTTTATTTTTATTGCAATATTCAACCTGTTTATGACAGCCATTTGTAATCACTTGATATTACCATTAGCATTGCATGAAATTCACCATGAAAACATTTATAACAAGTAATAACTCGTGCAAACACAGAATAGTTATTAGTCATTTGTTGTATTACTAATTTGAACCAGGAAATATGGATACATTCAAACACGCAAATAATGTCAGTTTTAGTAAGTGTCAATATAGATCTCTGCCAATCAGAACAATTTGGAGTTGTAATTGGTTCTCTACGTACTTGCTCGTAAGACGAGTCCAACTGCAAACTGCACAGATCAAAGTCAATATGCACCTGTAGATCTGGTTCAATCCAGTTTGTTGTAAGTAATTAGTAGAACAAACAACAGACATGCGACGGTAGATCAGGGTATATTTTGTTTGCGATTTGTCTTGACCTAAAAGCTAATATATAATGTATATATACTATATTGCACGGAATGACGAAAACTTTTGAACTGACTGATGCACATAATATCGATTTTTTCTTAATCGTTGTTATTTGTTGTCATATCTTGTTTGACCTTTACTCTTGTAAAATTTCTTGGTTATGTGAACCATCTTGGATTAAAACAGTCAGTATTTTAGTCATACTGTTGAGGTAAAAGAAAATTGTTTTTAAGTTGACTGAAATTATTGCAAAATCCAACAACAAAATCCTTTCTTTGCATTTAAATGGATGGCTAATCATTTCTTTTATCAGCTGGACTGGTAAAAATATATTTAGTTCTCATTTGATCTGGAGCGTAAATTAAAACAGGTTAAGGTTATATATTTTAAATTTGTATACCCCATAATGTGCCTTGTATTTACTTTGTTACATGCGTTATCATAAAAAAACTTTGTGCTGTAAGATTTTCCAAAGTTACTTTCTAACTCGTTCTTCTTTAGAAACGTTTCATTGAAAACTCATCTGTCTATTCACTCTTTGTATTGTGTATCATCTGTCTATTCACTCTTTGTATTGTGTATCATCCCCCTGATAGCATTATGAATCTTCTTGGATCTAGTATAACCGGCTTCCCCATCTATTCACTCCTTGTATTGCTATTGTCTACCTGGTTGCATTCTATCGCTCCTTTAGATACCAAGCAAGTACCCGATTAGATTCCTTATGATTACTTTGACCGTCACTCATTGACTTGCTTATCATGTCAGTATTATTCAGCCAACTAACGACAGATGTCATTGTATCGTCATGTTTTAAAACATTGCTGTATATCAAGCATATTTTGCAACAAACATGTAAAAATTTATTTCGAATTACCTCAAAACACGATAATTTGTGGAATAACTAATCGTCTATAAACTGTTTTCACTAAATGCACATACTCTTTGGGGTACAGTAATCTGGGATTTTAATAAAAAGAGAAACAGTTAAAGACCATTGTTAGTATGTTATTTATTGTATATTTCAATTTTTTCCCCTTAGGTTTAAAACAAAGCTAGGGGGAAAAAAATAATTGGTAAAGTTAAATACAAAAATTGGAAGTAGGTCGTAGAAAATCTAGAAGATCCAAAGATTTATCTCCCCTTGACCCTAATGTAGCAACATAACATGTCGAGCTATTTTTGTGCCATACCAAATGTTCAATCAAATGATTAGAATGTGGTCTAGGTCTAGAGAGTAGAATGTGCTCATTGTGTTAAGCAAATTTAAAAGTGTAATTGATGCTTGAAACCATTTGACTGTTTCCGGTTCAACATGTCAGTACCCACTGGGGATTTTTTTTTTTTTTATTATCAACGACAACAACACACGCACGCGATTTCGATTTCTTCGATTTTCTTTCTGATTTCAGGCCGCAGCGGTTGTTCCGCTTCGATGATTATTATTTTTTTTTTTCGCGTTGGTAGTTTTGAGGATCCGTCACTATTTTGCTATTATTATTGTCACTGTGGAGATTAGTTGCTCCACATGCTGCTCTTGCAACATGCACGCACACTTCCAACCAAACATTTTGTTCATTTGTACAACTACCATGCAATCATACAAAATATCTTCCTGCATATTGTTATGTTTCTGGTGAGTGTGCATTACGGCGCTTGCCACTATGTTCATCTAACTACACTGAATGCTTTTGTGTTGCTTCCACAACATTAATCGCCGCCCCCCTCTTTGCTGGATTTGCAATCAATCGTCGAATCAATATTGTGTTGTTCCAGACGTTGCTAAGCGGCTTCATTTATGGGCCTGACATTGTTGAAGTCGATGGAAGTATAACTGCAAGCGTTGGTCATTTAGTCACTAATCGTTGTAGTCGATCTCAAATCGATTGATCTGCCTGCCAGTCGAGATTTTCCAACCAGTCCAATAGGGCACTTTTGATGTCGTCAAAGACCCTCATTTGTTTCTTTAGCAATCAGTGAAGCGCGCATGGTCAGGGCTACAAGAACCTTTGGCGACCATGCGTAGGATCCACGGACAACATCACCCGAACCAATTTGCGTAATATTTAGCGTATACGGATTTTTTCCCGTTTATAACGCGAATGAGTTAAACGTACGTGTACCATTGTCATTTTATTAAACATTTGGTCGCTCTCATATACAGTTGAATCGTCGGTTTCCCGGCGATGGTCCAACGTGTACTCGTCTTTGTCCACGAGAGATAAACGATTGTGCGTCAACTTGAGATTGTTGCATGAAATATACGTGGACGTCATCCAGAGGAAGCTATCCTTTTTGCATCTGAACGATAGCTACGGGTTAACCAGAATCGTCGATATGGTCATACATACAATTCGTTCTAGAATCTTGGAAATATCTTTGGCCAAGTAAGGAAAGTTCACAGCGACGACTGTGCGATGTAAACTGCGAATAGTGTAGATTATTTCGATCGAGGCGGCAGGGCTGAGTTTGGGCTCCTGTACGCGTATAAAAATTTTGGAATCACTTTACCTTTCGCGGTATTGATCGTGTGTTAGTACAACTGAAATAGACGCACAACGGTGGACTTCCGGTTTCGTTGACGAGATTGTATTTATCCAGTTGACTTTCAATGTTTTATTTGCATTGACACGCTGCATCGTGGCATTGATTTCACATAATACATTGTTGGATAGGTGTTGTAAATATTTTCTTAGATACATCTTCAGTGACTTCGCATATTAACTCACACAACTTCTCTGGGTCCATAATGCTGTCGCTGAGCCGCTGCTAAGAAATCGATGCGTCTCATTGACAACTTCTGGCACCTTGTTGCCGACGCGAACCTACCCAATGAGTTTGTTCCTTCTGTCCAAACGTTCATCGAGCTGTTAAAGGTCACACACGCGAGAAAAAAGAAAATATATAAAAACGAATTCTCGTCGATATTGTCCAGATAGCGAACAACGAAACCGTTGCAAGTTGACTACTGACCCCGCATTCGATTGATATAAAATATTCGGCTGTGTACTTCTTGCTGTAGACTGCTTGAAAACCAAGCTAAAGTTTATGAAACCCATTTATGTTGGCACGTTCGTGTCGGCTTTGTCAAAGTTTCTCATATATGAGTTCTAATACGACTTCATCAAGCCGTCATACGGCGACAACATGAAGATGCTGTAAACGGATACGGAATTACTGTTGATGCACATCAACACCAATGAACTCCAGACGGACATGGGCATGACATCACTCTAGTGCAACTATGATATTAGTAAGTATCCGAAAAGCACCCGGTGTTCAGGAAGGCCAATAAGAAAGTCGTGGAGGGAATGTCGAGAACGAGTTCTCTGTCAAGCTTATCAAAGAATACGTTGGGTCTCAACCAGAAATGTACTCGATCGTGCAATTAACTGGTTTTCCTGAGCATGGCATTGACCATCGGCTTGAAAATCTTGCGC